CCACAAAGAGCTAAGACACAGAAATATGTAGGCAGTTTTAGCATTAAAAAAAAACGAATCAAATTCTGTTTAAATGTAAAAGAGATGGCCCAAATGCATGTAAATGAACTGTGCAAGGAAGAGAAACTCATAAGGGATGTCATTTCTGTCCAGCCAGACTGTAACAATAGAGGGCAAATATAAGCAGGTTCAGGTTCCATGGATGGCTGAGGAAAAAGCAGAGGTCATATAAAGAGCTGTAATTGAGGTGTACAGTGGTCAGAAAATTGGTGCAAGTTACACTGCTTTGTCATTTGCACCCATGTACAATGCTGTGGACGAGCAAAACAAGGGACTGGCCTGGTAATGCAGCAGGGAAAGTGACTAACAGGAAAAACTGACTGACTCCCCACCTTCAGCCCACTGTCATGCTGTATTGATTCAATATCACAAATGGTTCCCTGATTACCACTCTGTCCTGGAAACTGGTCTCTTCAGGTTGGCCTCAGGTGATCAAACACCATAATGATGTGGACAGAAAGGTACAGACAGGGTGTCAGGGAATTTAATAGCACACCACTACCATAAAATGTGAGTGTGAATAACGAAGTCCTCTACAGCTCCCTCCCACTCTAACCCAGATTCCCTTTCTCCTCTCAGGCCCCCTTACAGTCCATATGCAATGACATCCCATGGAGTAGATGTAGAATTCCTTATGCCCCAACCCAACATCAGCTGCCATCATGTTCCCTGAATGAGGTTACTGTGATTTCAGGAGCCACACAGCATACATATCAGCTACTTTTTGCATAAAATACTTTTTAAAAATGCCATGTTTTTCTAAATAACCACACATCAACTTTTGTACCATGCACCAGGTTTTATCCCATCCCATCAGGACTAACAGCTGACATATCAAGTTCAGCCCAAAGGTATTTTGCTATGGCAGAGGTACTGTATGTAAGCCCCAAACCAGCATTCCTACATAATGGGAAGCTTTTACAGAAGCCTTGGTACTACTAGACTATTAGTTTTTTGTTACGTTTTTCTTAAGTATTGTGTTACCTGTACATGTGATGGAGTCTGGGCTTTACAAAGGCAGGAATTAGGCATTCACTGACCATTGCAATTTTATGGGAACCGAGTGTCTAAATCCCTTAGGTTCATCTGAAAATTCCAGCCTACGTCATTACTGCATTTGTCTATATTCTGCCTATCACCACAGTATCTGTCTTGTATATAAAATCATTAGCAATGGCCAAATCCCCAGTGAGATTCTACTTGAGAGTTGTTAGGATTTTTATTCCATGCTGAATATTTTCCCAGTATTGAATGTATTTTACACATTAGGGGTTCAGCTGTGGCTGTGAACAACCCACCATACCAGCAATAGGATGAAGTGTGCTGCCCCATGGGGATGCCAGAAGCAGAGGCAATTAAATACAAGCTGGAGTGCACTGCCACTGTGCCCCTCTTGGCAAGAATATGGATGTGCCCCCTACCTATGTGTGGCCATTTCTGCCACCTGGCACAGGGAGGTGGGTTAATGCCATAGTTACCCTCCTTTCCCTTTTTAAGTTACAGAGTCTCTGGACTAGGGATATAAACACCCATTAAACAATTGTTTAGGAGGATTCAGTTAAAAGCTTATGGACCAAGTTCATAGCTGCC